GCTCCGCAGATTAAAGTGCCTGCTAGCGGGCCCAGGGCCCAGGGTTTATCCCCTGGGCCTGCCATGCTGGTCCGGCCCTTGGGGCACACTGTGGCGGCAATTGAGACTGGGCATGATGTCGTGTGCCTGTAATCCCAGCTTTTGGGAGGCTGTAAACAGGCAGATCACTACGAGTCCAATCTAGTAGTGAGACTTGAACACACTGTAGACCCTTCCCTAAAAAAAAAAAAAAAAATAGAAATAGGAAAGTCCTCCAGGCCCCTGAACTCTGGGGGGCAGGTTACAGGTAACTCTGCAGGCTTTAAGCTCAGCACCCACTCCCCTCCTTGGGACCAAGTGTTCCAGCCCCATGGCACTGGGCCCTGGAGGGCTTACAGGTGTGATGGTCCCCTTTGTCTAGCTGGGAGGAGGCCTGGGCCTGCCAGCTACCACGGGCTGTTCGCCTTTACCTAATATCTTTGCTCTATATTATTTTCTGAGTGTTGCAAAAATAAAAATAAGCCAGATAGCATAACCTTTGGGAATTCTGGAACTTGTTTGTTTTTTAAAATCTGGTAACAACAACACCAAATTACTATGACAGCAACTGTGTATTTACGGAATGTTTGCACTGTGCTAAGTGATGCACATATTTTTGTTGTTGAAATCTTACAAACAGCTCATGGCTGGTTATTGTTACCCCCACTTTCTATGCTGGGAAGTACAGTTGGAGAATTTAGGAGAGACCAGCAGGAGAAGAGACCCTCAGGCCCCAAAGTAAAGGGCACAGGTGGGAGGTGCCACTGGCTTCGAGGCTGCCACTAGCATGTCTGCGGTGGATGCAAGTGTACGCCGCACCATGCACTGTTTGCAGTGTACTGCATGCTTCTCCTTTGATCCTTCTATCTATTATTATCTCTGCTCTACAAATGAGTGCACTTGAGCCACAAAGCAATTAAGTGACTTTTCAGGGCCACAAGCTGTTAACTTTTGATAGAGATTTAAACCTGACAAGTCCTCCCTTTATTTTTTTTTTTTTTTTTTTTTTTTGGCATTGAGGTTGAACCCAGAGACTTTGAATTGAGCTCACCCCTAAGCACAGCCCCCCATTTTTAAATTTCTGAGGCTTGGTCTTTTTTCTTTTTTGCGGAACCAGGGATTGAACTCAGGCCCTTGCGCTTGCCAGGGAAGCACTGAGGCTTGGTCTTGCTAAGTGGCTAGGTTGCCTAGGCAGGTCTCCAACATTTGCTCTTCCTGCCTCAGCCTCCCAGACTACTGGGATCACGGACCTGTGCCACTGGTCTTTGTGCAGTGCTGCTGTAGGTGCACAGGAGCAAAGGTGGTCTCGGGCTGCTGCCCAGAGTCTGCTCACTCCCCGCTTTCTTGTGTTTCTGGCACATGCCTGCTGCCCTGGCCTGGTGAGGCCAATGGCACAGAGGCCAGCGCTCTCCAGCACGCCTGGCCTGGGCTCTGCTTCTCCACTGCCAGCCTGGAACCACCTTCCTCCTCACACCCAGCAACCCCAGAAGAAGGCTAGGCTGCCCTGCAGGAGGGAGCCACTGGGGACCAGCAGCGCTCCACATCCGGGTGCTGTCTGAGGTGGCTCCCAGTAGTCTATACAAGCTAAAACAGAAGAGAGGACAGCTGAGGGGAAGCAAGGCCGGCCTAACAAAGCTGCTGCCCAGTTCATCTGTGGTGGCTCAGCCAGGCCCTGTGGGCTCCCTGCCTGCTGACGCCTGTGCCCGCACTCCGTGGGTCCCCTGTGGGCTCCCTGCCTGCTGACGCCTGTGCCCACACTCCGTGGATCCCCTGGCACGGCCCTCACGTGGGTGGGTGTAGTCTGCTCCCCCTCACGTAGAGGGACACAGCTGGGCTGGGCAGCAGGCGGGTTGTATCAGTGGCCTCACAAGCCTGCGTGGCTCCAAGGGGGTGAGACTTGGGTTCTGCTCTCAGTGCTTGAACTCCAGGGGGAATCCATGCGGCTACCGGGAAAGAGCAGCAGAAACCACGACACAGAGGTAGGGAGAGCAGAGGCGGCAGTGACAGGCGCCAAGTGAGCCTCTTTTCAATTAAATGCCATTTCAGGAGGGACAGAAGCCCTCTGATTCATGTGACTGAGTCTCCACTGTACAGAATAATTCCTCCCATGAAATCCACACTCAAGAAATAGTTGGAGGGCCAGGGAGATAGCTCAGCAGCATAAGCACCTGCCTGGCAAGCACAAGGTCCTGATTTTGATTCCTGGTACCACAAAAAGAAAAAAAAATAATATTTGGCAAAATGATGTTTTGTGTATTGCAAGCGTGAACATATAAACTTCATGCTAAGTGAAGGAAGCGGTGGTAAAGGACCACGTTTTCACGTGATGCCGTTGACCTGAAATGCCCAGAACGGGCCAGTGGAGAGTCAGAAACAGCGGTCGCTGGGTCTGTGGCTCAGAGGGGACTGGAACGCAGTGGCTGAGGCTGCAGGGCTTTTCAACCTAACGAAAGTGTGCTACTATTGGTTGTGGTACCAGAGCCACAACTTTAGAAATATTCTAAAAACCACTGCATTTTATGCTGTAAGTGGGTAAAGCACAAGAGATGCAGATGACATCCCTCGGAAACTGTTAAGAGTAAATATTTGGTGAACACATGAATGAAACTGGAATGGAAGCACAATTGTGGGTCCTGGCTGTTGCAGTTATGGGGAGCTGCGGGCGAGCGGGGCGCTGTACAATGCCAGTGAGGATGTTCATTCACATGTTCATCCACGCGTGCGCTCATTCATTCATTCGTTCACTCAGCGGATGGGTATGGAGGGTCCAGCTCACAGCTGGGTACTATGCTAAGCGCCGGTCACTCAACAGCAGCAAGCCGGGCCAGGTCTGGCCGGTGCACCATGAGCACACGCACTCACACGGCGCCTTGCGTCTGTTTAGGAATTCCGCAGGCATACTTACATTCCCTAAGGCCAGGCTTTTTTTTGAGACAGGGTCTCACTATGCAGTTCAGACTGGCTTTGAACTCATTTTGTAGCCCAGTTTGGCCTCGAACTCTCATTGATCCTCCTGCCTCAGCCTCCCGAGTGCTGAGATCACAGGCATGTGCCACCACACTCTGCTAAGTCCAGTCTGTAAGAATGTCAAATTTCCCACTTTCTGTTTCTTCTCTCTCTTTGGTCCTAGAGGTCAACCAGTGCCTACCCTCTCAGCAACATTCCCCAACCCTTTGTATTTTTATTTTCAGTCAGGGTCTTGCTAAATTGCTAAATTGCTTAGGCTGGCCTTGAACTTGTCATCCTCCTGTCTCAGCCTCCTAGAGTGCTGGGATTTCAGTGTGCACCATCATGCCTGGATTGAATTTTTCTTAAAATGATCTGAGCCCAAAGATAAACACTTTAATGCTAACTCCACTTTGCTCTTTCAAATTACAAAAAATAATCTCGCGTGCTTTCTCTTTTGATTTTTTTCTCATGCTTTTTTATTTTTCAAGCTAAGAAAAGTAAAATCTGTATCTTTGGATTGCAGAAAAATTGAACTGATCAAAGCTAAACTCTGGTTTATGGGAAAAGTAAGATGCCCTGAGCAGGAAGGAGAAAAGTCCTACAAAATGCTGGCTGTGTGATTGCCGAACAGGTTTTACACTCGCTCAAAATGAGTTCATGCTGTGAAGCACCAGCATCCTGCCCAGGGTGAGGTTGCTGTGTGCGTGAAGACAATAACCTTCTCTTCTTCCAAGTTGGCAGGGGGCAGTGGCACGTTGTGGGGTGCAAGAGGACTCTAGGAGCAGCACAGCTGATGCAGCTCTGGTTTCAGAGGGCCACGGTGCCAAGAAGCAGCGGGGCCAGGACACAGGGCAGGAGCTCACAGAGGCGGAGCGCTCCCCGCCCTGCTGCTCAGAAGCTGTCAGTAGGCTCCCAGCCTGTTGGAGCCTCAGTAAGATGACAAGTAACTTTCAAAATAAGAATTAGGTCAGCAACTCCTCCACATGAAGCCGAGAAAGTGCAGTAAATGACTTCAGTGGGAGTAGAGGACCTGGGTGTGGCAGTTAGGGTGGGCTGTCAGCTGGATTGGCTTGGGCTCCACCCAAGACTGGTGGGGTAAGGTCTGGGCCCTCACCCCTTCCTCTCTGGTGCTGGCCCCTGCCCTGCTTCCTGCCTGCCATGAACCGAGCACCTCCGCTCCGCTGGGCCCTTCTACCACGGTGCTCCCACTTAGGAGCCAGCTGACTATGGACTGAATTCCCCAAAACTGTGAGCCAGATGAACTTCTACTCTTTCAAAATTTTTTTTTTCCAGAAAAGATTTCTTTCTGCAACCCAAGCAGAGGTTCTGTGTTAAATAATAAGTTTGGTGGTGCAGGCCTATAAGTCTAGCTAATCAGGAGGCTGAAGCAGAAGGATACAGTTTGAGGCCAGTCTGAGCAATTTAGTGGGACATTAGATTTTAAAACAAAACTAAACCAAAAAAGGGCGGCGATATAGCTGCATGTATCCTGGGTTCAATCTCTAGTACCTACCACAAAAGAAAGAAGTTAACTGAGGTACAGTTCAAATTTTTCATTTGGTTAAAACATGAGAATGACTGAACAAAACACAGGAATGAAGGGCCCTTAGCTGTACCTTCCATGTTGTGGCCTAGACTCACCCTGAGAGCCTCCTTTTAGCACAAAATAACACACACCCTCCCAATTGGGGGTTTTGTCCCCTTCCTGCTTTGCTAGCCCCTGACCTCAGCCTTCCTCAACACAAGTCACTGCCCACTCTTGTGCCTTTCTCAGGGTGTCCTCTAGCATGTGTGCCTGTGTGTGCGCACATGGTGTGCATGTGGGTACAGCATGGACCCCGTCTCGCTGCCCCCTACCCCATCTTTAGACCTCAAGACTCCCCGAGACTGTGAGGTTCACTCGGCTCCCTTATGAAACACCATTCTGTCACAGACCCTGGTAGAGCCTGTACCAATGCCAGCTTCTCCCCTAGTGGACATTCTGGCCCGTGGAAGGCCAAGGGCTGGGCTGGCCAGCAGTTGGGGAGCCATACCTGGCTGCCTTCTGCGTGAGCTCTAGCGGGAAGTCGGGGCACAGCAGCTGCAGCAGGCAGTGGTACTCCCTCATGGTCAGCAGGTCTGCGGTGAAAACGGAGAGGAGCACATTAGGCCTCCGCTTCCTGTCGCTGTTCTCTCTAGTCATTCATGTCTCTAGACTCAGTCTGAGGAAAGCTATTATTTTGAGATAGGCCATTGTTAAGTTACCAGTTGCCCAGCCTGAAAGATCTTCCTGCCTCAGCACCCCGAGTGCTGGCAGCAAACCTGAGCCACTGCACCCAGCTGAGCTGCTCCCTCAAAGTTAGTCAGTTTAGGGGTATGGAGCCTCTAATGTCTTCTTCTTCTTCTTTTTTTGGTACTGGGAATTGAACTCACCACCTCACGCTTGCCAGGCAGTTCCTGTGCTGCTGAGCTTAATCCCTGGCCCTTGGAGCCACTAACTTCTGGGGTGAGGTTTTAGTATCAATATTCCTGCAAAGCCTTTCCTGGGTGGAGGTGCCCATTTACAACATTTTGACTAAAGAGACAGCCGAGAAACACTGGAAGAGAGGACATCAGAGAGGCAGCTTCGTGGCTTCTCCACTTGGTTTCCCTGGGATAGAAGCATGTGGAGGGTAGAGTAATCTGAGAGCTGGGTGAACAGGCAGACGCCGCTGGCACGGTAATGTTCACCACCCATGCCAGGACCATCCACAGGATGTCTGGAGGCCGAACCAAGGGAAACAGCCTTGTGTGCATGGAGAAGCAGAGCGCAGCGTGCCAACCACAGACCGCGTCACTGTCACCCAGCACTGCAGTGGCTGCTCCTCAGATGCCTGCACAGAGATCTGGCCACCCTGTTACAGGAAGCCAGGAGAGAAGTCCAACATACACAGTCCAGGCCACCAAATGATCTGACAGACCAAGGCACTGCTTGGGCGAGAGCAGCCAGGAGGCCCTGTGGTCCAGATTTGCCAAAGAGGCAAATCTCAGAGAGGTTTATTGGGATCCCAAGGGACAGAAAATATGCCGGTGCTTGAGAGTTGTTTCTTTATTGCTTGTTCTGAAGTGCAGAGATTTGGGGTCCGTTGGCAGCCGGGGTCTGCAAGCATTCCCATGTACCACTTCCTATCTGGAAGGGCCCCTGAGGGTCAGGCAGGAGCCGTGGCCCTGGAGCCTCCTTGGGGGAAGGAGGGGTGAGGGGAGGTGATGAATAGGGCACGGCCACAGCTGGGAGGAAGGTGACGAGGATCACAGGCACTTGGTGTCTTTGGCCACGGTTAGCCCAGCCACAGGAATCCAGCTCTCCTGCCTGCTTGTTCGGTTCATGCCTTTCCAAGGCAAAACCCCCAAATCTCCAGGGACAGGCCCGAGTTCCTACTGCTTTTTCATCAAAGCTCAATTCAAGGTGGGGGCAGAGAGTTAAACTAACCACATGGCCAAAGTCAGGGACACCAAAGGACAGTTTCAGCGTCAATGGAGGTCAAAGGAGCAGGGCGGCTTTGGCGGCTTTTGCCTTGGCCGCAGGGAGCCGTGTGCTTTCCTCTGCTCCATTGCTGACCCCGGGCATGGGGCCTGGCCTGGCCAGAGGGCTTGTTCTTCAAGAGAGGGAGGAGAAGCCACTCAGGGACTCACAGGTCCGGGTAAGGAAAGGCACAGGTGGGGGAAGGGAGAAAGTCTATGGCTGCTCGTCCCCACATCTAATAAAGACAAAGACACAGGCACTGTGGGCTGGGACCCTCTTTAGCATCCTGATATTATTCTACCTTGTGTAGTTCAAATACTTACTTCTCCAGGGCAGAAGAATGATTCCCCAAAATCCCTTTGTATCTTTTTCATGCAACAAAAGGCTCTCAGATAATAAAAACTGAATACTTTTTGTCTACCACTTCCGGAATTTGACTCTTTCCAACATTAAGTGAAGAAGGTAGTCATGCAGAGGTTCATAATATCGTAAACAAGTAAACAACGAGAGAGAGAGAGAGAGAGAGAGAGAGAGAGAGAGAGAGAGAGAGATTCTAATTCTATTATGGCCATGGACAGATAATATCACGAGCAGCTGATCTCAAGGGAGAGCCACTCTTGGCCCTCCAGGACTGGGACAGGGAAGGTGGTAAGACAGGTTCCAAAATCAGAGCTCTGAAGAAGAATGCAGCCTTTCCCTTTCTGCCCCACAGGCTGGGCTCCCAAATGGGTTGAGCCACTTCCAGAGCGCCCCAGGCCAGCGGCTCCACTGCCCAGTGGCAGCGTTCATGGCACAGGGGAAGGTAGGGCTGCTGTGCAGGCTCGAAGCCAAGTGTAGACAAGACGATGTCTAGCAAGCACTCTGCGGGGATCTAGTGCATAGTGACATCCTCAGGAGCAGTTGTGGTTGTTTTGTTTTTCAATCCTGGGGATAAACATGGGAGAGGACAGGCGCACAGGGCACCCTTGCTGGCTGGGTTTGAAACAAACCTTCCCGCGGAAGCACTCCTGGAGCTGTCTGGAAGCTGGCGGGCTGTGTGACTCCTTCCAACTGTCATCTCTGCCTGGCTCCGGGCTCCCGGCTCCAGCCAGGCCCAGCCACCATGGCGCAGGCAGGCTTTTAGCTCCTGGGCTCTCTGAGACTTCAAAGGCTCTTCTCAGCAGCCTTTTATACTCCGGAATAACGGTAATGAGTGTGAATGGTCTTGGACTCTGTGCTCAGCACTTGAATTAGCACACTTAACCTCCATGGCAGCCTTAGGGCGTAGCTGCCACTGTGCCCAGGCCCAGTTCCTAGATGGGACCGGAAGCTTGGGGGACACAGGAAGCTCGTATCCGAGGAGGATGGCCCAGCGGCTGGTGGACTGCAAGGGTCTTCCCAGAGCAGAAGCCCAGGCTGGGTGGGAAGGACAGCAGGGCTGGGCCTTAACACTCCCTGCTCCATTCTGAGCTCTAGGTGGGCAGGGCCCTGTTCTCGGGCCTTCTTGCATACCTCCTCGAATCCTCAGTGTACCCCATTTCTCAGACACACAAGCTCAGACTGTACATGCAGAAAGGGCAGGCCTGGAACTGCTGACAAGGCAGCCTGGCTCCAGAGCTAATCAGCACCACGATTTCATCCACCTGAATGTGTGAAGGCTCAAGTGTGTGTTTTCCCGCCAAACACACTTCAGGGAATAAATTGCTCCAAGTGAGCTGGGTCCAGGCTACAACCCAAGTGAATTAAGACTTCTCCGTTAAGAAATTGAGGCTGAACATTTTAATTACCATCAACAGGAAAGATGGAAGCCGCTGGGGAGAGGAGTGGGGGAGAGGGAGGCCAGAGCCGTGGCCACCTGAGGCTCCTGCCTGTCCACCTGTCCCTTGGCCTCAGCATCCTGGCCCACGCAGGGAAGGTGAGCAGGGCACATGGTCAGATCCCTCTCTAAGGGGTTCCCTGTGATTACAAAAGCTCAGCCAGCACTTGCTGCAAGTTCAAAAGTAGACACAGAAGATTGTTTTGGTGTAAGATGAAAACCAGAAAGCTCCTTCCACAAGTCAGTGCTTCTCTTTGGATGGGTGGTCAGAAATGTTAAACCTTCTTTTCACGGGGCTGGCCCTGGACCAGAAGGGTTCCTATGCTTCATTCCTATCTTTTTCAGAGGTAGCGCGGACTCCAGAGCGAGGGTTCTGGGGTCCAGAGCCTCACTTGGCCACTGACCTCCCAGGAGGAGCTGACTGATTCCAGGCCGTGGTTTCCAAAGGCACGAAGCGGCTGTGCAAGTCATAGGACTGCTGTGGGCGGAAAGAAATGCTGGACTCCGACTTGTGTCTGTCCCACGGCAAGGCTCTGTCAGTGTCTGCTATTACTGAAATGAAGAAAGCGGAGGCGTTGCTCACTCTGTCAAGGAAACAGCTGCTGGGAGGGTCCTTAGTTCAGACCCAAGCTTCTCTGGCTTTAAAAGTCCCAGGATGGGGGCTGGGGAGATGGCTCAGTAGAATAGGCGCTTGCCTGGCAAACGGAAGGGCCTGAGTTCAATCCCTAGTTCCGCAAATAAATAAATAAAAGTCTCAGGAGTTCTGCCCGAGTGAGAGGGGGGAGTCACTCTCGAGGACAGGTTCATTCATGTCAGCTGACTGCGAGACTGCATCTAAGTGAAACATGCGGGCGTCATATGGACATGTTTGTGATGGAGCCCTACTTCGTTGTTGTTTTTTTTTTAAAACATTGTTTTTATTTATGTGTGTGTGTGTGTGTGTGTGTGTGGCCAGCTCAGCCCACCAGGGCGCGGGCTGGCTGGCATGTGGTGCTGGGGGATTGAACCGCGGTCCCTGTGCTTTTGCTAGGCTTGTTCTAAGCAGGTGCTCCAGACCATGGAGCCATCTCTCCAGACCATGGAGCCATCTCACCAGCCCCTGGAGCCGTACTTTGTATGTCGCTGTGCGTGGCTGTGAACCACTGGTGATTCTGTGCATTTCCTCCTGTGCCAGAGTCGTGTGTGCCACAGGTGGTTCAAGCTGGTAGGAACATGTCACGAAAGGCAGGGAGGCAGCCAGGTGTGTGACTGGCGTTAAAGCCTGACTCCCCACTTAGCACCCAGCATGCCTTTGAGCCAGCTGTGCAACTTCTCTGAACATTGGTTTCCTCAGCTTTATAGGGTGAATAACCACCGAACATACCTAATGGATTACAGAAAAAAAAAAAAGGGATAATTTACATATAAGGTACTTTTCTGAGAAAAATTAGCCAACTGTTCAATAACTGGTACTATTTTATGATTGTTTATTTATTTTGGTACTAGATATTGAACTCAGGACTTGCACTTACCAGGCAGGCACTTAAGCCACTGAACTGTATCCCCGGCCCTATTTTTAATTATTAACTGATGAAAACTTAAAGTGCTAACATTAAGGAAACTTTGTATTAGACCAAAGCCTCCAGCACAGTGCCCGCCACATTGTACTCTCTGTTGAAGGAATGAATGAATTAAAACATATACCACATGCTGACCCAAGTCCAAATTCACAGGGACAAAGCGTTGGTCACTGTGTCACAGAAATGTGGGAGTCCAGGGAAAGGAATCATTTCTGCAAATTTAGGACTTAAGTGTGAGAAGCCAGGAAAGGGTTGAATATGGCACATCTTCTTTTTGGTAGGC